CATACAACGGGCTAAAAAATGAATTTTTATCACACACCTGAAAAATAGTTTACATAATACTTGATGTCTACCATTATTTTTTAATATAGATAAAAGATCAGCAAGTGTATAATTTATACGATGTTTAATGAGTTGATTACAGTTTTTGCGTTTACCATGAGACCTATTATTTCTTAGTCGTTTATCGACAATATTAATCATCGATAGAAGTTTTAGATATGTTCCCCTGTCCCAATATTTTGTCATTGAGACCGAGAGGATAAGCTGTTTGAAGTCTTTTTATCCAAAATAGTTCGCGAACTTCACGGGATTTTTCAAATTGCGTGTGTTATTGTCCTGATTGTTTCTGAACGGTTTCAAGTGGTTGGAGTTTTATAAATTTTAGATTATGATCATGCTTATCTAAATGTTGGTATATCAAACTTTTGAATTTTTTAGGTCTTCGAAAGCGGTAAAGGTGCTCTCAATTCTTCTGTAATATTCTCATCCCGTCTGTCCCACATATTGAATACCACACTTAGGCTGGGTTCAAGTTACCACATATATAAGGTTTTGAGTTTTTTCAGGTAATGTCACAGGGAAAGGAGAGTGAAAAAGCTCTCCCGTTCAATGTTGACCTAACAGTATTTTGTGAAGTAAATCTAAAACAGGTGAGTCATTTTTTGGCATTGCACGGGAAAATTTGTGGATATCCACGTGCATTTTTGTTTAACAATCTGCCTGCAGAGGCATTACAAATACGTTTGTTTAAGCACGTGGATATCCTAGAAGTCTGGTTGTTATTTAATTTCTTTCCATTACGTAAAATCATGATAATTTAAATAGGGGTATAGGCAAAATAAAAAAAAGACCGGAGGTTATAACATAGAATAAGGATCACACTTACGGAATAAGAAATAATAGGCAAAGCAGAAAAAGAACTCTTACAAAAACTGTTATATAGGTTGCAATTCTGTAAATACAGACAATGCAATTTCCCATAGGAACTCCCTTTGCGGCTAAAACTGTGACACTTTTACTATGAAGTTTTGTGAAAAATAATATCCCAGAACGGAAAGTTTATATGCACTACTATTTTATTCAAAGGTCAAAATATAGGGCTGTGCGGCATATTTTCAACATTTATATGCCCTGAACTTCTAAGAGTTTAAACTTATACTAAAATTCTATACTACCCTTACCTCCATTTTTGGACCTCCTAAGAATTAAAATTTAGCCGCTACCATGTTTATCTATACTGGTTACATTCCCAAGTGATGTCTCTATGAGATGAAACACAGAGATCATCAATGGGAACCAGTACGTTAACAAATTAACATACCTATGAATATTAAATATCTCCCCAAAAGAGGCGTGGTTTGAGAACAGCTTTATTTACAAAGTGCAACCTATACAAACATTTATTCAAATAGAAAACTCTCTAAAAACACTTTTTCTCACAACAATACTTATTTATCAGAATTATAGCCTTAAAGAAATCACTGCATATACTCTAAGTCTCCTTTTACAGTACATTTTATACCCCTACCCCTGTTTCAATCTTTTAAAGATTTCGAAAACAAGACTCTAATTATTGCCAGCTTACCCTATGTGCATGTTTTCTGACATGAACTGTCTAAAACCTGTTTGAAACTATTCTGATAACAAATTGAAAGCATTTTAGAATACTATAAATGTATTGTTTAGTAGTTAAGCATTCCAACATTCAAGATTATACAAAGTATCCAATCCTGCCTGTGTCTCCAGTCCACATCTTACTGTATGCCTATTTGTCAATGAAAGTTCACAATTTCTGCCTCAAATAGTCAGTTTAGAATTCTTGTCACAACAGTATCATCCCTAACCATATATCTAACATAAGTTAGTTAATATATGTCCTAGAAGTGTTTAAACAAAGGCATATTTGCAAAAGTTGTATTTATGAAGATATCAGTCTGGTGCATAAATTCACTAAAAGTTTGATTGAAATGACTGCTTACATCTGATTTTTGCATAACTTCCTAGCACAGTTATTGTTTACTTTATAAAAGACCTTTAAAATAAAAAAATCATAGCATTTACAAGTTAAATTATCTGTTTTATGACTCAGGGGTAGGCATTTTCCTCTGTTTTTTGCCCCTGGGGCCTCACATTTCCTAATTTTTTTTACCTGTTTCTAGCAATGTGAAATATTTACTACATATTTAGGATAGAACACACTATTGTAAGTTTTACTGAGGTCTTTTTGTAATTCTAGCTTGTACTTTTTTATGCCGCAGTCACAAAAAAGCACATTTAGGCGTTACGGCTTACTTTTGGGTTATCGACAGGACAAAAACACCCCACCAGAAATATTTAGGAAGGATCAATGAGTTGCAATTACTGCGAAGAGTAAATATAAGCACTTCTAAACAATTTAAATTACAAATAGGCATATATTATGAATTTATTTTGAATTCAGGGCTTTAAGTAAACCATGCATACTGTAAACTGTGAATTTATGCTGAGTCATCATAGTTAAGGCCCAGGATTTTCTCAATCTTCATGAAATATTTATAAAACTTCATATTTGAGTTAAATTCTTTAAAATCTCTGAGATAAACCAGATTTTGTGAAATTCTGTATGTTCTATTTTTTAACCCTATATAGGTTGCAATTCTGTAAATACAGACAATGCAATTTCCCATAGGAACTCCCTTTGCGGCTAAAACTGTGACACTTTTACTATGAAGTTTTGTGAAAAATAATATCCCAGAACGGAAAGTTTATATGCACTACTATTTTATTCAAAGGTCAAAATATAGGGCTGTGCGGCATATTTTCAACATTTATATGCCCTGAACTTCTAAGAGTTTAAACTTATACTAAAATTCTATACTACCCTTACCTCCATTTTTGGACCTCCTAAGAATTAAAATTTAGCCGCTACCATGTTTATCTATACTGGTTACATTCCCAAGTGATGTCTCTATGAGATGAAACACAGAGATCATCAATGGGAACCAGTACGTTAACAAATTAACATACCTATGAATATTAAATATCTCCCCAAAAGAGGCGTGGTTTGAGAAACAGCTTTATTTACAAAGTGCAACCTATAAAAAGCCCGACGTAAAGACTTAAGGGATACAAAACAGACATACAACAAACACAGGGCAAAAACAGAGATTGTAAGAAATCTAAGTAAAACCATAGCAGGGGGCAATAATAAAAATAGCAAGCGTGGATGAGTATTTATACATCCAAACACCATAATATTTAATTAACATTTAAGAACAAAGATATAATAAACATGTGAAAGCTCTCTCACAGGCAAACAACCCATAATTGTAAAATATAAGGGCATACATCACAAGCACGATAAGCTATTATAGGTTGCACTTCTGTAAATATAGACAATGCAATTTCCCATAGAAACTCCCTTTATGGCTAAAACTGTGCCACTCTTACCATGAAGTTTCGTAAAAAATTATATCCTAGAATGGAAAGTTGATATTCACTACTATTTTATTCAAAGGTCAAAACATAAGACTGTGCGACATATTTTCAACATTTATATGCCCCGGACTTCTAAGAGTTTTAACTTATACTAAAATTCTGTACTACCCTTCCCTTCACTTTGGGTCTTCCCCAGAAGTTACTATGTTTATTTATACTGGTAACATTCCCAAGTTATGTCTCTACGAGATGAAACATAGAGATCATTTCTTGGAACCAGTACATTAACAACACAAATATATATATATTTAGGTTAGGATATGATAAAGTTCAACCGTTAGTGTCAGTAAAATCAGATTCTTTTTTCGGGGAATTCTTTGATCTGATTCTAAACATGTATAAAACGATTTTTTTTGTCAATAACATAGTGTTTGTACATAAACATGACGATTCTGACGCTATTATGAGAAGTTACAGATCATTTAAAGCTACTTTTAATTATTTCTTTTTAAAAATGTAACTGAAATTAAATCTTGAGCAATAATCTCAAAAACAAATGAAGAAAACAATAATCTATTCATTACTAAACAGTCCAACAGTTTGAATTTTGTTTTTATGATCTCGCATTTTTTTCCTCTTTGTTGGGTATTTAAGCTTATCACAACCGAAACGAAAAAAAATATTCGAACAGACCGTTCTGTGCACACGTGCTTGTCTTTGAATCATGACTGAAAAGAAGAGAACGCATGTTGAAATTTCAGTAGAGGAACAACTACTTATTGTACGGGGATATGTAAATAACAGATTCAATTGGCCATCTGTTTACGCAGAAGTAAAAAAGATCATGGAAAGATTGACAGAAAAATGCCAAGCTCTTTACAAAGATAGACCATTTAAGAAGATAAAAAGAAGAATGTCGGATCAAATAACAAAGTTGGCATTTAAAGATCCAGTCTCTATACAAAACGAAAAACTGAGGCGGTTTATTGCTGAAATAAAAACAAATGATAGGCGATACACTAAAAAATGTCATCCAAACGAAATGAGACCTAAAGCGAAATACCAAAAGGTAGTTTTATATATATAAGTTACAGTTTCAAGTTTTAAGAAAAGGTATCGAAGCTCATAACCACCACCTGTTTTTAAGTTTCATCATGAAAATTCAAGAAATGTTGAAAATTCAAGAAAATGTGTTGAAAATATGTTGAAAATTCAAAAAACATTTTTTTTTAATTTTCAAGAAACTTTGCTTAAATTTAAAAAAACTATGTTTTAAAAATTCACGGAAAAAAGCTGAAAATTCTTAAAAACTATTTTAAAATTTTAAGAAACTATGCTCTGTGTTTTCAAGAAACTTTCATGAAAATTTAATAAAATCTGTTGAAATTTCAACATATTTTCTTAAATTCCACTCAGTTTCTTGAATTTTCAACTAAGATTCTTGAAATTGCAACGTTGTTACTCGAGTTTTCAAAATCACAAAAAAAAAAATACATTCGAATCCTCTTTTTCTTTAGATACATCCCGGACCCCCTCCCCCCCCCCCTCATCTCAAATGCTTGATGCTTAAAAATACGGGTTTTCTATCTGTTTTCATGAATAGTATGTTCATACATGTTACACTCGTCGCCCTGTATAATAATTTGTGTTAAATAAATAATATTCAATTTACTGGTAAGTTGGGTTTTCTTTTTTACAGAGAGGTAGTGGTGAACTTGAAGCTGATAATAGAAAAGTTGCGATTCCAATAGATGATGAGATGGATCCTGTTCCAAATGATCAGGCGGCGTTGAATCATGATCAGGCAGTGGTGAATAATGATTAGGCGGTGATGAATCACGATCAGGCGATGGTGAAAAATTATCAGGCTGTGGTGAATAGTGATCAGTCGTTGGTGAATAATGATCAGGCGGTGGTGAATAATGATCAGGCGGTGGTAAATAATGATCAGGCTGTGGTGAATTATAATCAGACATTGGTGAATAATGATCAGGCGGTGGTGAATAATGATCAGGCGGTGGTGAATAATGATCAGGCGGTGGTGAATTATAATCAGACATTGGTGAATAATGATCAGGCGGTGGTGAATAATGATCAGGCGGTGGTGAATAATGATCAGGCGGTGGTGAATTATAATCAGACATTGGTGAATAATGATCAGGCGGTGGTGAATAATGATCAGGCGGTGGTGAATAATGATCCGGCGGTGGTGAATTATAATCATACATTGGTGAATAATGATCAGGGGTTGTTGAATAATGATCAGGCGGTGTTGAATAATGATCCGGCAGTGGTGAATATTAATCCGGCGGTGGAAAATAATGATCAGGCGGCGAATGAAAATGTACAACAGGACAATCAAAACAACTACCCAACCCCACCAAAGGGGAAACCTATTTCAGAACTTGCAAGAGATGCATATGAAAAGTATATAAAGATGCAGGAACGTGTACCGCAATTCGAAGATATAATGTCGAAGTGTATGGACAAATGTTTGTCTATGTAAAATGATTTCAATATGATTGATTTATACGAAATCTCTTTGTTTTTTGTTTGCCAGCTTTTTAGATAAATAAACGGTAGAATCGTTTGAAAATAATGGATTTATTTAAATTTAATAGGTGTTCAGTTTACATAGAACGAAGCAGTCAAGGTTTTCGTTGTATAAGGATATATGATGTTAATTTTCAAGAGAGTGTACGAGTAGTCTAACTCGGAATAAATTTAAGACGGGTTTCTCATTTGCTCTAGGTAAGTGTATACAAGTTTTTATGCTCTGCTTTATTGAATGATGAAAATGCACAGGTCTGATAAAGTTTAACCAAAGAGGACAATTTGATTGCCGAGGAGGTAGATTTTTTGTGACTTGAAAAGGTTTCATTTAAATGTTTCGGGATTTTGAAAATTTAATTTTAATTTCTAAAGGATAAAAAGTTTGTTGCGGAATGTATGAGAGAAAAAATGCTTTTCCACCTTTGGTATCAATGTTTGTTTCAAACAAAACAAAAAACAACACATAAGGACATAATAATTTAAAAGCTCAATCCCCCCACTAGGAATAAAAGTTCTTAAGTATTATCAGCTCACAACTAATTATGTTTTTCTGTTGGCATTATCAGATTTAAAGATTAATGTCGACAAACGGTTTTGCCAAAATAAAAACAAAAAGTCGATCATATGGGGTGATTGTACATGATACAAAAAGGATATATTCTATTGTATCGTATTTAATTGCATTAAAAAGTTCTTGTGAACTCTTCAAAAATTGTCATATTCCGACTTCGTGACGTCGAAAAGTATGATTGGACATTGGTATGAGCTGACCCGAACTTATTAACTTCTGTTTGACCCGAATTAAATTTAGTTTGACAAGAAACTGTTGACATTTCAAGAAACTATGTTGAAAATTTTAGAAAATATGTTGAAATATCATGAAACAAGTTTCTTGAAATTTAACATAGTTTCTTACTTTTATGGCTCGCGGCTGATATTTTGATATATCAATGTGCAAACTATATAGTTAAAGAAAGGAGCCCTGTTGGTCTAATACAGATATAGAGTTGTGGTTTTTCAAGTCAAGCGCTGATGATGTAAAGTCCAGTGCCGCGGATCTAAAGTCAAGTGCTGTAGATGTAAAGTCCAGCGCTGTAGATGCAAAGTCCAGCGCTGTAGATCTAAAGTCTAGCGCTGTAGATCTAAAGTACAGCGCTGTAGATCTAAAGTCAAGCGCTGTAGATCTAACGTCTAGCGCTGTAGATGTAAAGTCCAGTGCTGGATATGTAAAGTCCAGTGCTGTAGATTTAAAGTGCACTTTACATCTGAAGCGCTGGACTTCAAATATCCAGCGCTTGACTTAACATCTCCAACGCTTGACTTTAGATCTACATCTACAGCGCTAGACTTTACATTCCCAGCGCGCTGGACTTTAAAAACCACAACTCTATATCTTCATGAGACCAACAGGGCTCTGTATTAAAGAGATATAGACTAAGTATACTGTCAGTGAACACACCTTTGATAGTGACGAAGATCATAGAAAGTTATTTTATGTTGGTATTAAGATCAAAATATGAGTAAACTATAAGTCACAGCTATGAATTCAAGGATGGTCCGTTTAAAGTTATTAATTACATTTTATGCAGGAATGGCTGCAAAGGTTTTGCGTGGATTTATAGGCCAAATAAGACTAATATATCAGCAGTGCACATGGCCTTAGCTAGTTCTAAAAGTTCAAACAAAATAGAGTAATCTTATCCTATTCTATTTTGTGGACAAATAACAAAAAATGTCTTTTGAAAGTCACAGAGAAATGAAATTTTGTCACTTCATTAACAAAGGTAGTAAAAAAGGTCTAATACAAAAACTCGTTAACCATAACACATTTTTCATATATCCTGATTCATGTTGATACATGTATAAGTGTAAAGCAAATTTGATAAAAAAAAAATTATATTTAATAAAAACGTATAAAGAGATAAGATGTCGGTTAAGACATTTTAATTCCTTTATTCATCCACACATTCATTCGATAGTATTCAATAATAAATATTAGGAACCACTCCTAACAGTAAGAAAAGACGGCATGTTTATGCTTTCTTTGATATATATGTCGTAAACACCGCTATTTATTCATTTGTTTTTAAATGATTTTTTGGGAATTATTTACAGACATATAGACCTTCTGCTGTTGTCTGTTCTATGGTCGGGTTGTTGTCTCTTTGACACATTCCCCATTTCCATTCTCAATTTTATATAAAGGTGCACTCGATATATCGTAACGTAATAGAGTTTTTTGTATTCTTATTGAAAGTATGAGTGCTACAGCACCAACAAAACTGATAGTCACATAGTTATTAACATGTACATTTGTTTTTTAAAATACATGCCTAAAATAGATAGAAACAAATAGGAAATAAAAACAGAAGAAAATTTAAAAAAATTGTCATAAAAGCTCAACGAAAACAATAAACAAGAAAACAAAACGAATTATATTTATACTAATATGTGTAAGATAATATAACATACAAAAAAAGAATAAGAAAGGCCATGAAAACAAAACAAACAAAAAAAAACAAAAAACAAAAAAACAATACATTACATAACATCATTTTTCAAGTAGACTGTTTTTTTTTTAAATATTTATTTCAATATTTCCCTTTATTTATCTTCTTGCCAATTTGTCTAGAAAATACATCAGTATTAATCATTTAAAGTAAAGAAGTGACCATTTGGATTTTAGAGGTTTGGGGCAACAAAGTTATCTCGGATCCGAGAATGTTTTTTTCTAATTAAAAACCGTTTTTTCCTAGAGGCCTTCACTCCTAGATTTGATTTACCTCTTTTTATTTGCGCAGGACTTTTAACCTTTGATCTGAGCCTAGATAAGTTTTCAAAAAGAGTCATTGCCCCTCCCATCCCAACAAAAAAAAAGACACTAAGTACAGATCTGAGAGTACTCGCAATCAATATAATATGTCTACAACTCAAAATGGTTTAAAAGAACCCTGCATGTATATTTTTGTGTAAAAGACATTTCTAACGGAAGTACACAGCCGATAGTCCAAAATTATTGAATAAATGAATGCTCCCTCTTTTCTCGTTACGGCATGTTACGTCAAGTAATGGCGATTTTCGTCAGTTCGTAAGATGTTGAGATACCTCTACTACGACGAATATGTTCCAATCGTCGTAACCAATCCCGTCCTCATTTTCCTCGAATGTGACCTAGCAAATTAGACTTTTCACCGGGGTTTTACTTCTGAGCAACACGACGGGTGGCATATGTGGAGCAGGATCTGTTTTCCCATCCGTAGCATATCAAATCTAGTTTTGTTTTAAAAGGGCTCGTGCTGCTCTTGCTTTAGTTTAAACTGTTGTTCTCTATAGTTTTTCCTATTTTGTAATGTTTTCGTTGTTTATACCGGTAACAGTCTTTAGTCTATCCTCTGTCATGAAAATTATCTATTTTAGATTTTAGATGTCGGGCAGGTTGATGGATAAAACCATTGATTTTACGTTCGTTGCGTTGCCCAATTCCTAATCTGCTGTACAATTTTATTATAATGAGACATTTATTATATTTCCCTAGGAATGAATCTTTTGGCACAATTGGACAACTTCACAATAAAATCTATGACAAACGGGAAGATTTCAACTTCCCAATTATCAATTTCCAATTTCTCAGCAGTAACATACCCTCTGCACCATCGTATGGTGTTTATATATCTCAGTTGATGAGTTATGCTCATGCATGTTTACACTATACGGACTTCATATACAGGAGTGTGCTCCTTACGCAGAAACTGCTCCAACAGAGTTATGAGGAGGCAAGATTAAAAATGACACGCCGAACATTTTATGGACACCATCACAAATTGGTTGATCTATACAATGTGTCTGTGTCTAAACTAACTATAGACATTTTTACCACGTCTTAGCTTGTGGTTTACCATCGACGTCGTCTAGTCTGCTCAGTACTGAATGTGACCTATTCCCGAATATGACTATTTTTGTCGAGTGTGAATTCGCATTGCTATTAAACGTGTCTCGGTATTTATACATCCAACATTCATGTATTTAGTTATGATGTGTCTTTTTTAAGTATGGTTGGATATTGTGTTATGTCTTATCGTTTGTGATTTGAATTATATTTTTATTTTCTATATGTATGTAAAAGTTCAGATAATTAATCAGCTAGTTCATTTATATGATTTTTAGTTTAAAGCAACTATATGCACAGGATTTATTTGTTTTTACACAGTTTTGATTTAGAAGAAAAAAACCTACATGGTTAGAAAGTACAAATAATTACACCATTACTAACACAATTTCATATTAATATTCTTGTAATGGTTAGAAAATACATAAAATTACACCATTACAAACTTAATCCCAATTGTATATACTATTTTTTTAAATTTACCTGTGGTGTCACTTTTTGTGGCGTTGATACATTTGTGTGACGGACAGTTCGTAATTCTATTGTGGTGTACTGGTGTACTGTCGTACATTAATGGGAGGTATCCGTTGTTCTTCTGTGGTTTACATGTTATAATGTACTTTTATGTTATTTATTAATGTATTTCTCTGTTTTGAGTGTTCTTGCGTTTATTTGTACTGTATTCCTGTCATGTAATGTTGTCATTTTAACGGTATTTCTAGCATTGTCATATAATCGGGAGGTTTGGCTAGCCATAAAACCAGGTTCAACCCACCATTTTTTCTTAAA